ACACCGATAAACTTAGTACGTTCAATCAGGACGACGACACCCCATCGTAGAAGAAAGCTCCACCACGCTTGCAAATACCAAGTCTCATTACTTCCACCAGCCCACATCCGACCATCCATAGTCTGCTTGCTTTTCCCCTGCCGGAAATAAAATACTGAATCTCTTGATTAAGCACTGAGTAAACCTCCCTTCAAGTCATTCACTGCCCCGATACGTGGGAAACATCCTACCATCATATCATAACTGCGGAGCAGTCATTCATAGGCATCATGGCAACTTGTGCCTACCCCCAAAGCCCTCAGAAGTACCATTACTGAGCCGAAACATTAAAATATCCTTCCATATGGCGACGATAACAATCGAGTCAACTATACCGGGAGAAACATCCCGCACCACACCCGTAGTACCATCATGAATCTTCAATTCTCGATTTATAACAAGCGCTTTGCGTCACGTAAGATTGAGTAGGAATGAATTAAAGGCATACGCCTCCAAGGATCAAATCGCAAGATAAGGAATCAAGAAGGGAAGTACTCCTAACAGTCCTGCAACCTCCCGAGGATAAGTATAGACGTCTCCGTACCGATCCGCGAGACTCTACTAGACTTGCTCATGACTCATGAGACCCTAGGAACCTAGTGCTCGGATACCATGTTGTCACGACCCAAAATCCACTAAGGGTCGTGATGGCGCCGGACACTGCTGTCAGGCAAGCCAACCAAGTTACTTAATCAAATTCTCGTTTTAATACTTTTGAAATCTCTGATTTTCCTTCAAGTTTAGCAATATTAAAGAATGTAGTCTCAAATAGAATTTAAATGATAAGCAGTAAATACAATACTTCAAACCATCCCAGAACCCGGTGTCACAAGTGCATGAGCATCTACTGATAAGGAAATAAAATACAATAACCGTCCGGAATACAATGGACAGGAAATAAATACAATGTATTGAAGAGGGGTATACTAGCTGCGGGCCGCCTCGAATAATGCAACTCACCTAGCCCCCAAATCATCCGCGCTGCTACACCCAGTGGGCAGCTAGAAATAAATATACCTGTGCAACAAAAATGCACAGAAGTGTAGTATGAGTATGTAAACAACGTGTACTCAATGAGTATCCCGCCTAATCTCGAAGAAGTAGAGACGAGATGGTCAACTTCGACACTTACTAGAGGTCAATTGACAATATACTAAAAATGTGAGGAAATCATGGATTTATATAGCAGTTCTAATTCACGAAGCCAGAAAACAGATAAACACCTTCAACAAATAATCAAGGATTTTCAAGGTTTACTCTTTATTATCTTATCAATTTGTATCAAGCCACAAAGGTCAAATTTCACATTTAAAGTTCTCAAGCAACAATATAACATGCGCAAATCACACCGAGGCGACGGCCCGATCCAACAGAAATAAACTGTGCACTTGCCGAGGGTCGACGGCGCGCCTATAGATGCATCTATTTAATCTGCCGAGGCGTTCGGCCCGTTCCAAAATAAACACATAGAGACGTTCAATCAATAAGCCAACATGGGGAAATTATTAAAAGGGAAGCTAATTCTCTTTATTAATTTAGGAAAAATGAAGTTTATACCCTTTTAGAAATTCGTTCACTGATTCGATGTAGTTTAAGCAGTTCAAGCTATCAATAGGTTCGTAAATAATTCAAGTATAACATGCTTTTGGGTCATAACTACCCGGACAATAGCATAATAGTAGCTACGCACGGACTCTCGTCACCTCGTGCGTACGTAGCCCCCACAAATAGGAGCACATAATTAATTATTTCACCTATGGGACAATTCCCTCTCACAAGGTTAGAAAGGAGACTCACCTCGCTCCGAAGATCCATAACCGGCATTCCACGCCCTTCCGGGGACTCCAATTGATGCACCATGCTCCAAAACTAGCCAATGGTTACGCAAATCCATTAATATATGCTCAAATATTCATTACAATCTAATTTATAGCAATTCCTAACTCCGATCAAAGAATTGACCAAAACGCCCTCGGGCCCACGTGCCCGGAATTCGAAATTTCTCGAAGATATACCCTACCCATAGCTTCACTAGCTCAAATATACAATTTACTCCTAATTCCATGCTCAAATTCATGGTAAAAATCCAATTTATCAAGTTTCTAGGTTTCCTTCCAAAGACCCCAATTTTCCAATAATTTCATGTCTAATTCTATGATATAATCTCGTATTTAACTTGGAAATGAGTAGGAGTAACTTACCTTAACATCGATGACGAAATCCCTTCTTGGAGCCCTCCAAAAATCGCCCCAAGCCATGAAAAAAATGAGAGAAATGAACTCAACCCCGATTTTAAACAACCATTCTGCCCCAGCTATTTTCGCTTCTGCGGAAATATTTCCGCTTCTGCGGTTCCGCTTTTGCAGATCTAGGGCTGCTTCTGCGGTTCGCCCTATGCTGCCCTTCTTCGCTTCTGCGATGTCCCCTCCGCAGATGTGGTCTCGCTTCTACGGAAACCTTACCGCATCTGCGGCCCACTCTGAGCCGACCTAATCCGCTTCTGCGACCTCTTCTCCGCAGATGCGGTCCCGCTTCTGTGGAACCTTGACCGCATCTGCGGTCCTGCTTCTGCGGAACCTTGACCACATCTGCGGTCCTCGAACCCTTGACCAAAAATCGCATCTGCGCTTTCCTAGCCGCTCCTGCAGCTCCGCACCTGCGGCCCCTTTTCCGCAGGTGCGGTTATGACAGCAACCAGCAGTTCAACCCTCTTTCAAACTCCAAATTCGATCCGGTAACCACCCGGATTCCACCCGAGGCTCCCGGGACCCCAACCAAACATACCAACCAATCCCAAAACACATTAAGGACCCGCTCGAGGCCTCAAATCACATCAAACAATGCTAAAATCATGAATCGACCTCCAATCCAAACTTAATGAACTCCAAATATTCAAACTTCTATTTCCGATGTTTAAACCTATCAAATCACGATTGAACTCAAATTTTGCGTACAAGTCATATTCGACATTACAGACCTACTCCAACTTCCGAAACCGAATTCCGACCCCGATATCAAAAAGTCAACTTCCGGTCAAACTCCTCAAATCCTTCCAATTTCTATCTTTAGCCAGATGACTCCAAAATGACCTCTGACCTCCGAATTCACTTCCGATCTAGCTCCCAACTCCAGAATCACCATACGGAGCTATTCACAGACTTGGAATCCCAAACGGACATTGATAACACTGAGATGCACTTCAAGCCAAACTTATGAAATTTCTTCAAAAAAGCTAACTTCCACAATAGGCTCCAAAACGCTCCCGGGTTATCCAAAACCCGAACCGGGCATACGCCCAAGTTCGAAATCATCATACGAACCTGTTGGAACCTTCAGATCCCGATTCTGAGGTCGTTTACTCAAAATTCCAATGCTAGTTCATTCTTTCAACTTTAAGCTTCCGAAATGAGAATTCTCTTTCCAATTCAACCCTCGACTTTCCGAAATTCAATTCTGACCACACGCACCAGTCACAATACCTGAAATGGAGCTCCTCACGACCTTAGGCTGCTGAACGGAGCGCTAGAACTCAAAACGACCGGTCGGGTCGTTACATTTCGAAACTCAAAAATTGTCACATCAACGGGTTCCTTATCCTCCCACGAGTTCATACATACCAAAAGTTCTCAAATCCGACCTCAAATGGTCCTTCAAAGCCCAATTCAAAAGTTCAAAATCCCAAGCCCTAGTTCTTCCATTTTTAGCTTAAATTCCATGAATTTCTAGGTTAATTTCACAATAGAATCACGTTTTAGGTTCATAAATCTTACCTCCAATCACTTCTCCTTGAATCCCTCTTCAATCTCCCTCAAAGAGCTCTCAAAATGATCAACTATGGTGGAAAAAATGGCTCAAAATCGCGGATGAAATGTTTTATAACTTTCTGCCCAGCACTGAACTTCCTTCATCGCGATCGCGGCCCAAGCCTCATGATCGCGAAGAGCAAAAATTCCAAGACTCAAAAATGTACTATGCGAACGCGAAGCCTTTACTGCGAACGCGATGCTTGATTTCCCAGATCTATGCGAACGCGACCCCACTGATGCGAACGCGAAGAGCAAAACACTGGACCCCCAATTACTTATACGCGAACGCGAAACACTGTACGCGAACGCGAAGCACAAGCTCAGGGCCCTCCGCAAACGCGAGACCTCAAACACGAATGCGAAGACCAAACTCAGGCCAACCCAAATTCCTTCTACACGATCGCGACTGGCCCCACGTGATCGCGAAGGCCAATTTCTCTGCAACATCTGAACAACAATTTCTACAACTCTCAAAGCCAAAAATGGTCCGATTGACCACCCGAAACTCACCCGAGGCCCCCGGGACCTCAACCAAAAGCACAAACACATCCTAAAACCTCATTCAAACTTGTTCCAATAATCAGAATACCTCAAACAACACCAAATCCATCAATTCACATCGAATTCAAGCCTAAGTTTTCTAAAAACTTCCGAAACACGCTTTTGATCAAAAACCCAACCAAACCACGTACGAATGACCTGAAATTTTGCACGCACATCCCAAATGACATACTGAAGCTACAACAACTCTCGAAATTCCATTCCGACCCTCGCATCAAAATCTCACCTATCAACCGGAATTCGCCAAAATACTAACTTCATCAATTCAAGCCTAATTCTACACCGGACCTCCAAAACCAATTCCGATCTCACTCCTAAGTCATAAATCACCTAACGAAGCTAACCAAACCATAAAATCTCCGATCCGAGCTCATATACAAATAAGTCAACTCTTGGTCAAACCTTCCAAATTCAAAGCTTTCAACTAAGACTGATCTTTCAAATTCATACCGATTTCCGTGAAAACCAAACCAACGATCTACATCAGTCATAACACATTACACGGGACAAGTCATGCCTGAAAACTGGAGATCAAAGTGCAAAAGCTCAAAACGACCGGTCGGTTCGTTATGTTGAGGGGCTTAGGAGGACACTATGGAGGAAGAAGGACAACAGCTAAAGTACTTGAAGTTGGCTTTTACTGGCCTACTCTATTCAAAGATGCAAGGAATTATGTCGCCACTTGCGATAAATGCCAGAGAATCGGTAACATTTCTAAAAGGGACGAAATGCCTCTTAACTCTATTTTCGTGTGTGAAATCTTTGATGTTTGGGGCATTGATTTTATGGGTTCTTTTCCTCCTTCAAATGGCTATGAATATATTTTGGTAGCTGTTGACTATGTTTCAAGATAGGTAGAAGCAATTGCTACTAGAAAAAATGATGCTCATATTGTTTGTGCTTTTCTCAAGAAAAATATTTTTTCTAGATTTGGAACTCCATGAGTTATAATAAGTGATCAAGGAACTCATTTTATAAATAGACAATTTGCTAGTTTGTTACTAAAATATGGAGTAACTCATAAAATAAGAACCCCATATCATGCTAAAACAAGCGGGCAAGTAGAAGTTTCCAACAGAGAATTGAAAAGAATTATAGAAAAAACTGTTGGTTCTTCTCGAAAAGATTGGTCTTTAAAATTGGATGATGCTTTATGGGCATACAGAACTACTTATAAAACTCCCATAGGCACATCTCCTTATAGACTAGTTTTTGGAAAAGCTTGTCATTTACCTGTGGAATTAGAACATAAAGCATACTGGGCTATACAATTGTTGATTCTAAACTTGCCAGATGCAGGTAAAAATCGTCTATTGCAGCTTGATGAGTTGGAAGAGTTCAGACTTTCAGCATACGAAAATACCAAATTGTACAAGGAAAAGACAAAAAAATGGCATGACAAGCTCATCCACCATAAAGATTTTAAAGTTGGAGATCAAGTTCTGTTGTACAATAGCCGATTGAGATTATTCCCAGGAAAGTTTAAGTCACGCTGGACAGGACCATATACAGTAACAGGAGTGACCCCCTATGGTGCCATTGAAGTACAACATACAGATGGGGGAGACAAATTCAAAGTAAACAGTCATCGTTTGAAGCCTTATATCTTCTTCGACAAACATGCTTCAACAATCCTTCTTGCCTAATTTTTAAAATAAGTCGAGCTGGCAACGTTAAACTCGGAATTATTTTCTTCCCCTCTCTTTAATCTTTAAATTATTAGTAGTAACATATAATATTTTTTTTATAGTAAATATATATAATAAAATTAGTTTTTTTCTTATATAACAAAAAGTAAAAAAAATAAAATAATAATAATTGCAAGTTTGTATTATATTATATATATGTGTGTATGTATTAATATATTTTTCCATAATAAAGAAGCACTCTCATGATTGAGACAATGAAAGTTTTCTCTATCATGAAAAAGAACATTTTCTTTGCCATAATCTTGTCTTTATTATATGAGAGAAACCTTGAGAAGCCAAGAAAAAGGAAATGATGCCAGAACCGAAAAAAATTAGGGAAACTCCTTTGTCTCCTTTTACTTTTAATTTATTTGTCATGAGGACATGACATTATTTAAGCTTGGGGGTAGAGGAATATGTTTGTTATATATGTGTTTCTTTTAAGTTTTTTTTGGTTAAATAAAAAAAGAGAGTATATTTTACAACTAAAAAATGTATTTTTATTAAAATTATAAAATTGAAAAAAAATGAAAAAAAAAATTTAGTTGCCTTATTCTTAAGGCAATTATTACATATAATATACTTCCATGGATTTCTTATTCAGTTCTTTGCCATGGTCGTAATATTTTGAACTGAATATTTTTTAAGGACTTTTAGTTGTTTTAACTTGTTTTGGTAATAAGTTGGCTAAACTTGATTTGACTTGAAAAGCATGACATTTAGAAAAGACGAATTCGATTAAGTACCATTCACGAGTTTTATGATCACTTTTCTAAACTCATACTTACTTATTGGTGATTGAAATCATAGTTTTCGTTGGCCCAAGTGTATTGTGCGGTTAGCTTATATTGTCTAGTTCTCCTGCTTATCTGGAAATCTAGAACTTTCCTTGAATGTGGATTGAGGAGAAATTCTAGGTAGATCTTTGAGTTAAGAAATGAACGTAGGCCTTCTTTGTTGAGCCATAGCCTAAATTGACCTACCTTAATGATTTTTGTCCTTAGTTAGCCCAGTTGAGCCTAAATAAATTATCTCTTATTTTGTTGGTCGCCATGCTTTAACCCTTAGCCTGTTGTTGTTATGACTTGTTCTTTGTTCACCCAATTCCCTTTTGGGCACTTTAAGAGTTGATCTGAATGTAAAAATCTTAGCTTGAGGTGTAACTGTAAATAATTGGTGAAAGAATAATTGTTTGAAGTTGTCGATATTTTGAGATGTTGTCATAGGAACTAAAAAAAAATATAGTTGCTTCAGAATTTCACACACACACAAAAAAAAAAAAAAAGCAACAAAGAAAAGTTGGAAACTCAAAAAAAAAAAAATTGAAAGGGATGAAACAAAACAGAGGTTTATTGTTTAAATGAGATGAAAGGCAATTGTACTTAAGAGATAAAATAAATGTGTAGTGCCCATAGGAAATTTGAGTCACTATTATCTATATGTATCCTACCCATCCCTAAACCCTACTTTACAACCTTGCAAAAGTCCTACATGATCTTAACTCAGAGACTCCTATATTAGTGAAGAACCACATGATAGTCAAGCTTATGGTTATTTCCAGTAGCTTGAGGTACTTCTTTGTTGAGAGTGAGCGTATTTTTTATCTATGCCCTTCTTTGATCCTATATCTATATATTATGTGATATATGGGCATCTCTCTTCATTCAGTGAGACACACTTGGGATTAGAAATATTATGATTTCAGTTCTCAATTGGTGAACATGAGTACAGCTGAAAGTTGTTTGAACTCGTGGATTGGTTAGTCAATTCTCTCCGTCCAAAACCTTCATGATTCACTTAAAGTGTTTAGTTACTATGTTCATTTTTTTTCTTGCTTCGAGGACGTGTAAAAGTTTAAGTATGGGTAGAATTTGGTTAAGTGCATTTTACCAAGATTTTAACCACATATAATTTCTCTTATAAAACATATGAATTATCAATGTTTTCCTCCATATTTTTTAACTTTATTTTGCCAGGAATAATTATAGAAGAATTGTTGTGCGCAACATGAAGAAAAATACAACACAGAAGTGTGAAATTCGAGCTACGATTTCATTAACTGCCGTGACAATGCACCAAGTCTCGATTTGCCATGATGAAATCTAAACTTAGAATTGCAGAATTCTCATCTCTGCAATTTCAAAATCTTGATTTGCATTGAAATCTAGCACCAAATCGAGAATTTAAATTCTCATATCTGCAAATGCAAAATCTAGATTTGCATGATGAAATCGACGAAATCTAAACTTAAATGACGAATTCTCATATCTGCAAATGCAAAATCTAGATTTTGCCGTGGAAATCTAGTACCAAATCTAGAAGTATCATGAAACTTTCTTATATAAGAAGATGTTGCCCGATCAGAGAGGAGATTGCAGTAGAGAGAAAGCTTAGAGCTGAGATCTGAATCAATTCTTAATAAGCTTCTCTATTTTTATTTCTTTCACTAGTATCCGAGTTATCTTTTCTTTAAATTCAAAATAGTGGTTTAGTTGTTGTTTCTAATAAATTTCAGTTAGGAATTACTCTAGTTTCCTGCTTATTAATTAAATAGGGGGAATTATTCTTCTTGAATATTTTCTTTCTATTTTGTTTTTTAATGACAAGAAATATTTCCATTTAATTACATAGTTCCGTATGGAGTAAACTTTTCGTGTGTTGGGAGAAAGACGTGATTTAAATATTTCTATATAATAGTAGATATTATTCCTCAAATTCACATGCTTGAGCTAGAATTTATTTAACTTTTATCTGCTTTTGCAGTTAGACGTTATTTAATTTATTATTAACATCTATCTATCTTGTACTACATATTAACTGTTTATTAATTCTGTAATCGAGAGAGGCGAAAGAAATAATATAGTTAAATGTAGTATTGATAAATGTTAATATTTATTCAGTAACATCTATCTCTTTTATGTTATAATTAATTTTACACTTATTTGTAATCGAGAGAGGCGAATAGTGTAATAATCAGTTATAACAAGTAGGGTAACCGTAAGGGACTTACTAACAAGAGCGTATTTTAGTTCAATCATATATTTCTGGTTCTTTAATATTACTAGTTTGAAGATTAATTTGTATAACTGAGAGGAGTGCAATTGATTATTCAACTTAAGTAATAATATATATTTGTAATCTTGAGAGGCATTTACACATTTTTGAGAAATAGAAATTGAAGAATAATAATTCTACTATATAATAAAAATATTAAGTGAAATCAAGATCCCAACACCTTTTAATTATATTTGTGAAAAACAAAATATTTTCTATTGCTCTATTCATGCATTTTTAGTTAGTTAACTTACAACTCAACTCTATCTAATATTCTCAAATAGTAATTAAAACAAGAAACGTCTGTAGAATAGATAAATCAATCTCTGTGGTTTCGACATCTTTCTATACTATTATTTGATAGTGTACGAGTTAGAATTTTATATACGCTAGACACTCGTCAGGCACCCATGGCCATAAAACAAAAGATTGCAGGCAGCTAAGGGAGGAAGTAGCCCGATTGTTCAGCGAGGGACATCTTCGGGAATTCTTAAGCGACTGGGCCAAGAATCACTTCAAAAATAGAGATTCCAGTAGACAGAACGAGCAGGAAGAACCACTACACGTGATTCATATGATCGTTGGAGGGGACGATACTCCTTAAGGAACGATATTAAAATGCACCAAGGTGTCGATCACTAGGGAAAGCGAACTCGGGGTTACGTACCGGAAGGAACCTTGTCTTTCAATGACGGGGATGCAGAAGAGATCGAACAACCCCACAACGACGCATTGGTAATATCTGTACTTATGGATAAGATTCGAGTTAAACGTTTTTTGATTCATCCAGGTAGCTCGGCCAACATAATTCGATCAAGGGTCATAGAATAGCTCAGCCTATAGGATTAGGTTGTACCCGTGGCCCGAGTTCTAAACGGCTTCAATATGGCATGTGAAACCACCAAAGGCGAAATAACTTTGCCAGTAAACCTGTCTGGGACCATCCAAGAAACAAAGTTCCATGTGATCGAGAGCGATATGAGGTATAATGCCCTATTCGGGAGACCGTGTATCCATAACATGAGGGCAGTACCTTCGATCCTTCCCTAGGTTCTAAAATTCCCAACGCCAGAGGCAGTCAAAACAGTCTACGGGGAGCAACCCGCCGCCAAGGAAATGTTTGCCATCAGCTAGTGATACCGATATCAGCACTATCATCAACAAAAGGGTCAAGTTCGAAGGGAAAGCAGGATGTTAAATAGCAAAAACAGGCATCGACCTCAACCCAACTGGAGGAGCAGGAGACATACGAGGATGATGAATATATGGTACCTTGATCCTTCATAATCCCCGAGGATTCTGACGCCACAAAATCAACGGTCGAAGAGCTGGAAAAAATCATACTGATCGAGCATCGGCCCGATCGAAAGGTATACATGGGCACAGGGTTAGCTCCCGAGCTCAGGAAAAAACTTATTCAATTTCTTATAGCTAATATGGATTGTTTTGCTTGGTCCAATCTTGATATGACAGGGATCCCACAAGAGATCACTACTCATAAACTAAGTTAGGACTCGAAGTTCCGCCCGGTGAAACAAAAAAGGAGGCCTCAATTCGAGGTCAAACACACTTTCATCAAAGACGAGGTAACCAAACTTCTCAAAATAGGATCCATCTGGGAAGTAAAATATCCCAAATGGTTAGCGAATGTAGTAGTAGTCCCTAAAAAGGGAAACAAGCTTAGGATGTGTGTAGGCTACAATGGCCTAATAAATCATGCCCCAAGGTTTCTTTTCCTTTGCCTAACATCGATCGCATGATCGATTCCACGGCCGGTCACGAGATCCTCAGTTTTCTCGATGCCTATTCTGGGTACAACCAAATACAAATGAACCCGAAAGACCAGGGAAAAGCTTCGTTCATCACTAAGTATGGTACCTACTGTTATAATGTAATGCCATTAG